TATATATATATATATATATAATCACGGACATTAATTTGAGTCGGTTTCTAAGTTTAGGGATTTATAACCATCAGTAAATTTGGCCGTTTCTAAACTCTAAAATTGGAAAATATAAAATTTTCCAATTTGTAAAATGAGCAAGCCATAAAAAAAGATTTTATAATAATTTTAAAAATTTAAATAAAGTTAATATTAAATTATACCTGCACTAAAAAGTTACAAATAAAAAGACAGCCAACTGTAAATAATAAAATTTTTAAATTAATTCATTTTTTATAAAAATGAACAGGTAAAAAAAGAAGCATTAATAAATTGTCATTAATCCAAAAATATCGGATTAAAAAAAAAGAATTTTTAAAAATATTCCAAATTAAAAAAATGATAAAATAAAAAGTTGAACATCTAAAACAACGTTATATTAAAACTAGGAATATTTAAAATCGAGAATCTTAAAATATGCCAATCGCTAAATATTGAAAATTTAAAACCTGACAACTTGAATTTAGCTGATTTAAAATTTAGAAATCGCTAAAATCGGCCGTTTCTGAACCTAGTAAGTCGAAAAATCAGCCGATTTGAAACCTCGAAATTCATAAAATTTGCAAATTCTTAAAATTATTCGATTTAAAGCCTGGGCAGCGTGATATTGATAATATTTATGTTTAAAATTAGATTTTACATATTTTGAAACATAAAAACCGAAAAATTCACTCATTAATAAAATAATTTTTTTTTCAATTCTGTTTTATGTGATGACATTTGACTTTTTCATTTTTTATAACAAAACAACTATTATGAAAAATAATATTCTAAAAATTTACACCTAATTTTCCTTCTCACTTTCACAATTAATTAAATTGTTTTTTTATGAGAATTTAATTTTTATAAAATTCTAAAAAATTATTAAGAGTCTGTTAATTTCAATGCCATATAAAAATTTTATAAAAACCGCTGCGATATTTAAATTATTCTTAAACCTACCTTCTAGCAAAAGGCTTTTTGAATATTTTATGATTAATAACAAAATATAAGATTTTTAAGATTCCGTTCAGTGTGTAAGTGCTACGATGATAAAAAAAAGTTTCTATCAATGCTACAAAGTGGTTTAAGTTTATAAAAACAGGGAAATGGTTATGATATTAAAGTTAGCCAACGTTTTTAATTATGTAATTTTTTTTTCAATAATTAAATTAAAACAAAAAAATATTTTTAAAAAATTTCACTTACAGTTTTTTACAAGTGATATTTTTTTTAATAATTAAAAAAAAAAAATCTCAAAATTTTTAAATAACGGCTAATTTAATTTTCATAAATGGTTCACAAATTTGACCGCTAGGTGCACTACCTATGGTTTCTATAAACGCTCGATCTACGGACTAATTACAGTGTCTATTCACAGCGTGGCTTACACACCGGAGCGTTTGTTTACATTTTACTTCATGAATCGATTATTGTTCAAATGTTTTAATTGTTAAAAAACATTGTAAAACCTATCAGACATTAGCTCCAGCTTTCGAGCAGGTATGAATGAAATAACATAATACAACATTTTTGATAGTAGATTTTAATTAGTGTGTTGAAACAGCAGCTAGACAGGATGTCAGCTTCATGCTAATATTTATATTCTATCACAACTGGATTGAAACCTATATGTGCCAGAGAGATAATAAAATAGTACTAAAAAATAAAATAATGGAACACTACGGGCCCAGTAGTGCAGCTAGTGATAATGACTCTCAGATGATGTTGCTGGATATATCAATCTATCATAGATATTAATTATTAATAGTATACCACGGTGAATGAACGAAATAAAAAATGGAGGTACAAGTAAGTAACCAAACTATTCTGGAAAATAATTATAACCAGATTACTTCATATTAATAATTATTCAGTTAAATGTAAATAATAATAATAATAATAATAATAATAATAATAATAATAATAATAATAATAATAATAATAATAATAATAATA